CCCGGCTTCGCTAACCATCCCCCTGCTGCTCGGGCTGGGTCTGAGCCTGATGAGCGCCCCCGGTCGGCCTGCGCCTCCGGTTGTCTGGCCTGTTTGCAATGATTTGCGGAGGCAGGGGGTTCCTCTCGCTGGCCTGGGGGATCTGTACCCAGCTACATCCAGACAAACCGTGTAAACAAATTCCTGGCTGCCAAGTCAGGGCGCTGGGTGTTAACAGCCACAGGCCCTGGGCTAGGTACTTATGGGGCAGGGGATGTGCCTGAGCCATGGGGGAGCTTTTCACTGAAGGGACAGTCTCTGTCCATGCAGCGTCCCATGTGACGGGGCCAGATCTCGCTGTGTCTGGGCAGCGCCCAGTCAGGCGCGCCGCCAGCTTTTCCGCCGCCTAAGGTTCCACCGCGGAAATACCGCTGCGGTCGCCGCTCCCCAAATCGCAGCGCCCTAGGCGACTGCCTCGGTCACCTAATGGGTTGCGCTGGCCCTGCGCCCAGTGCAACCGGGCCCTGATTTCAGTTGTGACTTGTAGACGCTTCTGTAATGCACAGAATGATTCATTTCTCCTTGGCAGGGCAGGGCGCTGGCACAGACCCCGAGGACGGTATCGTCTCACTTATTAACACATTTCGTGAGGGATCTTAGAGATCACACCTGCTGTAGAGAGAGGGAATCTCTCTCTCTCTCCCCTTCTCTGCCAGGACAGCAAATTCCTGCTCTGCATCTCCCCCTTGCTCTGATCCGAGCACTGAAAACTCCCCCTTCCCGCCTTAAACAATTGCCAAGGCTGCTTGGTTCGGGCGCTATCAATTATTAACGCAATGAGTCCCCAGCAGGTCATGGGGCCCCTGGGATATTCACACCCCGCTGGCTTCCTCCATCCCCAAACCCCACCCCACCATCAGTGATGAATTCCCTCCTTTCCACCTGAAACCCAGAGGTGATCCCGGCAATTACAGGCCAGGAAGCCTAACTCCAGTACCGGGAAAACAGGTTGAAACTAAAGTAAAGAACAGAATTATCAGACACAGAGATAAACACGATTCATTGGGGAACAGTCAGCATGGTTTTTGTAAAGGGAAATCATGCCTCACCAATCTATTAGAATTCTTTGAGAGGGTCAACAAGCATGTTCTGTTCAATATCTTCATCAATGCTTTAGATCATGGCATAGAGAGTAGACTTATAAAGTTTGCAGACAATACCAAGCTGGGAGGGGTTGCAACTGCTTTGGAGGATAGGATTAAAATTCAAAATGATCTGGACAAACTGGAGAAATGGTCTGAAGTAAATAGGATGAAATTCAATAAGAACAAATGCAAAGTCCTTAGGAAGGAACAATCAGTTGCACACACACAAATGGGAAATGACTGCCTAGGAAGGAGTACTGTGGAAAGGGATCTGGGGGTCATAGTGGATCACAAGCTAAAGATGAGTCAACAGTGTAACGTTGTTGCAAAAAAAGCGAACATTATTCTGGGATGTATTAGCAGGAGTGTTGTAAGCAAGACACGAGAAGTCATTCTTCTGCTCTGCGCTGATTAGGCCTCAACTGGAGTATTGTGTCCAGTTCTGGGCACCACACTTCAGGAAAGATGAGAACAAATTGGAGAAAGTCCAGAGAAGAGCAACAAAAATGATGAAAGGTCTAGAAAACATGACCTATGAGGGAAGATTGAAAAAATTGGGTTTGTTTAGTCTGGAGAAGAGAAGACCGAGAGGGGACATGAGAACAGTTTTCAAGAACATAAAAGGTTGTTACAAGGAAGAGGGAGAAAAATTGTTCATGTTAACCTCTGAGAACAGGACAAGAAGCAAGGGGCTTAAATTGCAGCAAGGCCGGTTTAGGTTGGACATTAGGAAATACTTCCTAACTGTCAGGGTGGTTAAGCACTGGAATAAATTGCCTAGGGAGGTTGTAGAATCTCCATCATTGGGGATTTTTAAGAGCAGGTTGGACAAACACCTGTCAGGGATGGTCTAGATAATACTTTGTCCTTCCTTGAGTGCAGGGGACTGGACTAGATGACCGCTCGAGGTCCCTTCCAGTCCTATGATTCTATGTGGACAGAGGGCATCCAGTGGATATAGTGTACTTAGATTTTCAGAAAGACTTTGACAAGGTCCCTCATCAAAGGGTCTTACGCAAATGAAGCTGTCACGGGATAAGAGGGAAGGTTCTCTCATGGATCAGTAACTAGGTAAAAGACAGGAAACAAAGGGTAGGAATAAATGGTCAGTTTTCAGAAGGGAGAGCGGTAAATAGTGGTATCCCCCAGGGATCTGTACTGGGACCAGTGCTGTTCAACATATTCATAAATGAACTGGAAAAAGGTGCCAAACAGAGAGATGGCGAAGTTTGCAGATGATACAAAATCAGTCAAATTAGTTAAGTCCAAAGCAGACTGTGAAGAGTTACAAAGGGATCTCACAAAACTGGGTGACTGGGCAACAAAATGGCAGATGAAATTCAATGTCGATAAATGCAAAGTAACGCACATTGGAAAACATAATCACAGCTATACATATAAAATGATGGGCTCTAAATTAACTGGAACCACTCAAGAAAGATCTTGCAGTCACTGTGGATAGTTCTCTGAAAACATCCACTCAATGTGCAGCGGCAATCAAAAAAGTGAATAGAATGTTGGGAATCATTAGGAAAGGGATAGAGAATAAGACAGAAAATATCATATCACCTCTTTATAAATCCATGGTACACCCACACCTTAAATACTGCGGCAGATGTGGTTGCCCCATCTCAAAAAGATATGTTGGAATTGGAAAAGCTTCAGAAAAGGGCAACAAAAATGATGAGGGGGATGGAACAGCTTCCGTATGAGGAGACATTAATAAGACTGGGACTTTTCAGCTTGGAAGAGAGACGACTAAGCGGGGATAGGATAGAGGCCTATAAGATCATGACAGGTGTGGAGAAAGTAAGGAAGTGTTATTTACTCCTTCTCATAACACAAGAACCAGGGCTCACCCAATGAAATGAATAGGCAGCAGGTTTAAAACAAACAAAAGGAAGTATTTCTTCACCCAATGCACAGTCAATCTGTGGAACTCCTTGCCAGGGGATGTTTGAAGGCCAAAAGTATAACTGGGTTGAAAAAAGACCTAGGTAAGTTCCTGGAGGACAGGTCCATCAATGGCTATTAGCCAGGACAGCCAGGGATGCAGCCCATGCTCTGGGTGTCCCTAACCCCCCACTGCCAGAAGCTGGGAGTGGCCGACAGCGGATGGACCAGTGAATTACTCCCCTGTTCTGTTCATTCCCTCTGATGCTCCTGGCACCAGCCACTCTCAGACACACGACCCTGGGCTAGATGGGCCATTGCTTTGACCCAGTCTGGCCATTTGGATGTTCTTATGGCTCACGGCGAAGTCCTGGGCAGAGCGGACCCTAGCTTGCTTCGAAGGGCCAGCCAGCCTCTGACCCCCTCAAAACATTTGCTGCCCTCCTTGAGCTGAGCCCCAGCACCAACCCCCGTTAATTCTGGGCGCCCGCATCCGAGAGGAACCCCGAGCGCAGAGCAGAGACGAGGCCGCGGGGGGAGGGGAGGCAGCGCGGGGGCGATTGTATGAGAGGAGACTCAGAAGGGTGTTGCAGGCTCCGGGGGGAGTGATTGCACCCCAGAAATACATCGGGGAGACCACCAGGGAGGGTGAATCGGACACTCAGGGACAGGGCTGGCACGAGAACGAACTGGCCAAGGATCAGCTGAGCCCAGGACCAAGGAGGAGGTTGGGGACCATCCAGAGAGAGAGCAGCTTGGGGCGGGGGGGCAAAGAACCTACCTAGACTGGAGCTGGAGCAGTTAACAGCAGGGTTGACACAGGACCCTCACTGACCCCGAGGGTCCAGTCCTGTGGCCCCCCCCCCCACCATGCTTTTGGGAGCCTGAGCTCTTCTAACTCTGGATCTTCTCCTCTAGATGGAGCGTCAATCCCGCTTGGAATCTCCGGCCCCCCAGCACCATCCAGTGGCAGCAAGTTCCACAGGGCCAAAGGAAGGCGCTTTCCTTGGACGAACTGGGAATTGCACCCAGGCTCGCCACAGGCAGGTCATACGTAGCCCACTGGCTCCCTCCAGTGGCTGTATCTAGAGGTGCCGCTGCTCTGGCCCCAATCTCACCTGTTCACATTTCCTACCATTTTTTTTCCTTTGGGACATTTTAGAGGCAGGTGGTGGTGGTGGGTGTCCTGAGAACAGGGGGAAATTACCTGCTCAAGGTCCCAGAACAGACCCTGAAATAAAACCCAGGAGTCCCAGCCCCCCTGCTCTAACCACTAGACCCCACTCCCTTCCCAGAACTGGGGAGAGAACCCAGAAGAGCTGGCTCCCAGCCCTCCTCCTCCAGCCATAATATACCCAATAGCAGTAACAATGCACTGCGACTAGCGCACTCGGGGGCCATGCCGTGCCCGGGGCCACTAGCTTGTGCCGTAACAGAAATAATCGCCCAGCCCCTCAGACCCCAGCCCTGCCCGCTCAGCCTATGAAAGGACGGCTCTGCGTAGCTGCTGACACACAATTTCCTGCATCACCACAGAGATCTTTTTAATAGGCACTTGCAAATTTTTATAGAAAAGGGATTTGTTTTTGATTTTTTTTGCAAAAAAAACTCTATAAATAAATTTGTGGTTAAGCCCCCCCCCCCCCCCCCCCCCATGCACCTCCCTGCTAAACAGCTCTCTCTGCTTCCATAAATTAAATATCAGCGGTTCGCTATTTACAGCATATATATTAAAATCATTAGAATAATCCTTTCCCCTGCCCGGCAAAGCAGCACGGAAAAAGCCTTTATAAAGTGCCCCTGCGTTTGTTTGCACCACGGCACCAATCTGAGGTAGGTGAGTGTTATGATCCCAGTTTTACAGACGGGGAAACTGAGGCACATATTGGGTGGTTTTGTCTGTGTGTGCGTGCGCTTGGTTTTTTTGCCAGAAGCTGGTCAGAAGAGCTGACAATGGAACCCAGGAGTCCTGGCCCCCAGCCCCCTCTGCTCTAACCACTAGACCCCATTATCCTCCCAGCACTGGGGATAGAACCCAGGCATCCTGGCTTCCCTTCCATAGCAAGTTTGCCCGTGCGCTTTGCCTGTGTAGATGGGCCTGTAGGATACTGAGTCTCAACTGGCTCAGCCCCACGGCCATGGGGCCACACCCCCTGCACGAGAAGAGGGGCTGTGAACCCTTAAGATGCCAGCTGGGCAGGGGGATGGAGGCAGGACATCCCCGACTTCCAGCCGTTTCCAGCCTGGCTCGCTGCATGGCCACCAGGTGGCACTGTTTGTACTGCTGTGGTGAGTTCCCCCCACTCTCAACCTGGGAGCGTGGTGGAGATCATTGTGGGGGAAGGGATGGGGGGCAGGAGGGAGAGGGGCTGGGGGCTCTCCCCTCTCCCTGCCCCGCCCCTAAGCCTTGGCAGCCCGGTGGGTGAGGCGCCGCAGCCGGTCGGGGTTGGATCTCTTCGCCGGCGAGGGCTTTGCTCCGACGCTGACGTAGTAGAAGGTGAGGGGCTGGTAGGTGGGGATGTAGCTGACCAGGCGCTGGGCGGTGCAGGGGACCCACATGGGGGCCGGGACGTAGAACAACTCGGCGGCCTGCGAGGAGAGAAAAGAGACCTTAGCAGGAGTCTGAAATAACCAGAGACCCCTCGCCTGGCGCTGAGATGTGGCTGCCTCTGGGGTGGGGGCTGTTTATGCAGGGACCCCTCGCCTGGTGCTGAGATGCAGCCACTTCTGGGGTGGGGCGTGGGGGCTGTTTATGCGGGAACCCTTTGCCCGACACCAAGATGCAGCCAGCTCTCGGGTGGGGCGCAGGGGCTGGTTTTGAAGGAACCCCTCGCCTGGTGCTGAGATGCAGCCACCTCTGGAGCATTTGCTGTGACCTGTCCCCAGGGCAGGGGCACGGCTTGGGGGAATGGGATATGGGGCCTTTCTCTAGGGGGCACCAGCTCCGCTCCAGCCCAAGGGGGTGGACTGGCTGGCTTGTGGGGAGACGGGCTCCAGGCCCCTCTGGCTCAAACCTTCAGCAGCCCTGTGCGTGTGTTGAGTTTGCTTGGTCTCAGCCCTGCTCCCAGCAGGGACTGGGACCCCCCTCCCCTCCTACACACCTCAGGCACCAAACGGGCCATGAGGACCCAGCCCCCCCCAATTCACAATCACCTGTTTGCCGGGCTCCTGCAGGGCGGGTCTGCTCGGGGCTGGGGCCGGTGCCGGCGAGGGCCGGGCTGATCCCTCATCCTCCGAGGAGCTCTCCGACGGCGACTCCGAGTGATAGTCCGATGTCTCGGGCTCCGGCGTCCCTTTGCCGCCGCCCACTTCCGAGGGGCTCACCGTGAAGTACTGGCTGTTCTCCCCAAGCCTAGGGTGGGGGGCAGGTGCACCCAGGGTGGGGTGGGGGGGAGAAGATGCTTTAGAAATTGGGACCACGGCCCCATTAGTGCACAATGGTCACCGGGCCCCATCCCGCCCCCGAGCCAACCAGTCCCCACCCCTGGGGCTGGAGCAGAACCAGAGCCCCTAGAAGGGAAAGGCCCCATTCCCCACCCCCCTGAGTCAGCCAGCCCCCCACCCTGGGGCTGGAGCAGA